CAGAACCGGGGATTGAACTCAGACCCTTGCGCGTGCCAGGGAAGCGCTTATTCTGCTGAGCCATCTCCCCGACCCTGAATAATTGTAATAAGAGACAGACCCTCAATATTTAGTGCTCATATAGCGCCTTGTGCTGAGAGATGTTTACTCCACACCTGGTGTGTTTCAGGTGATTTCACACGGAATATTTTCCATACTCCTCTCTTTGACCATTTTGCAGACAAGAAAATAAACTTGAGGAGGTGAAATGGTCCAGAGTTAAACAGGGAGTCAGTCTGCGCTAGACCGGAAGTGAGTAGCTTGTACACTAACAAGTGAGTTAAATACTCTTATTTCTGGGAGCGTGCAAAAATATAGAGTAGTCTTTGTTCACCTGGAGCTCATACTCAAGGGAGGCAAAACCTAAACTACATAAAGTAATAATACAATCTGGACTCAGGTGAACTATCATGAATAGGCTGTTTTTCCATCAGTTTTTGAATTAGTTTGGAAGAAGAACGTGCTTACTATAGAAACAGTATTGGCATTTAGAGTCATATAAATTTGCCTTCTTTCTTGCCGTAGTACCAATTCTGTGAGCTCTGTGTACTCTATGTGGTTTTGTTTCTACAGGCCATTATTCTGACTACTGGATGAGAGGAAGAAAATTTTTCTTTACTTTTTCTGCCCTTGGCAGTGTTAGTTAGGAGCAGATATGCAGTGGATTGGAGTGGACCAGGTATTTCCAGGCCCCAGAGACAAAGCTGTGGAAGAATCTAATGAGGTTCTGTACCCCTTCCTTTTGGCAGCCAGTTTGTCTTGCCACATTCCTGCCTAGTGCATTGTCCAGCCTTTGCTTTTTCATCAGGAGTTATGGGAAACACACTTGTGAGCAGACCATTTATGTAGATCCAAGTATTAACAGTTTTTTCTCTGAGTTGAAGTCAGTCTTTTAACTATTCATTAATTCATTCCTCTTCACTTTTACATGGAAGATCTCCCCCTTGGAACAGTCTGTCCCATTTCCTCTTCACAATTGTGTTCCCCCCCTTAGGTAGTCTTCCTTAGTTTCTTGTTAGTTACCATATAATTTTTGGCTTCTTCTTTGTTTTGATCACTTTCTTGTGAACACTTAGTTTTGCTAATCACCACCTTACCGTATCAGGAAAGGTCCTTTTGTGTTTGCACATGTGCATGTTTTTGATGCTGCAGTGAGCATAGAGCTTGCATTAGTTTACAAGGGCAGGAATAACAGTGTCACAGATGGCGGGGGGTTACACAGCAGATATTTCCTTGTAGCTCTGAATCTTAGAAGTCTGCAACCCTGTGTTGACCTCTTGGCTGGCCAGTGGCCACCTTTTCGCTGTGCTTCCGGAGGTCTGTGGTTTTCCTTGTGAACCTCTGCATCCTTGGTGCGGATTTAAGGAAACAGACTCAGGTAGAGGCTACCTACGAGACTTCAGTAGCCTTCCCTCCCTTTGTAATCACCATATATTTTCATATCCTGAAGTACTAGGGATTACACTTCAACCTAAAAATGATTGGAGGATAGAATTCAGCCCGTAGCCGGCTCCATTACACATATGTATCTTAAAATTGTCAATTAAAGATTTCCAGGTTAAAGATTGCTTGTTTTAGTAAGTTAGTATGTGGTTTAGAAAGGTCTTTAAACAAAGAGTCTTGATCTAGTGTTTGTTTGTCTGTGGTTCTTTTAATGTCCAAAGTATTAGCAGTATTGTCAACTGCCTACATGACATATGTCATCTTTTTTATGTGACTGTCTCATATTGTTTTAATTCAGATGGAAAACAGTTAAGGATCAATCAGAAATTCAGTTTGTGAAGATAGTTCCTGTCAGAAGAAAAGCTTTAATGGTGTAGCTTTTTACCTTTAGACCTTTGTTACTAGGTTTAAAGACATTTTTTTTCTGAACTGTAATTAACTTCGACCATTTCTGCTTGTTACTGCCATTGCTTTTGTTTTGTGGAATATTTGTACTTACATAACAGAATATTGCCTAAGTTTGTGTAGCCTGCCCTGGGGACTTTAGGACTGAAGGGTTGGTTCATTTACTGATAGTTGGTGGCTTTGAAGGCTATCCATGCCTTTTGTGTGTGACGAACTCTCTCCTCACTCTCTGTTCTCTCTCTGTCTCTCTGTCTCTGTCTCTGTCTCTCTCTGTTCCTGTCTGTCTGTCTCTGTGTCTCTTGCAGTACTAGGGATTGAACTCAGTGAGTGCTAAGTCATGCCCCCCACCCTTTCATGTTTTTTATTTTGAGACAGGGTCTCACTAAATTGTCCAGGCTGTCCTTAAACTTGTGACTTTTTTTGCTTCAGCCTTCTCAGTAGCTGATATTATGGGTGTGCACCACCATGCTGGTTCTACTCTTCCTAAATATAGTTGCCGTTACTTTTTATACTTAATTTTTGTGGCTAAAAGCCTTTTAGATTGGTAGTAGGAAATTTTTTATTGCATGAAAATGTGCAAAATTGAATGCCTGTATTTAAAAAAATCAGTTGGGAAGAGAAGTACTAGGAGAAAATATTTGTAGAAGCATGGTGGGAGAATGTTCAAGACTATATAAGAGAGTGAAAAATACTTTGCTTAGAATCTAGAGAAGTATACTAAATAGATGAAGAGTTACATGGAATCATTAATAGGTTGTTAGTTCATAAAAGGAAATAGGTTTGAAAGTTATCCAATAGACAGTTGTCAATACCATTTTCAGAGCTAGAAAAGGACAAATTTTTTTTATTGGCACATTTTACATATATGTAGTAATAACATGCGTTACAGGGTATTTGTACCTATATGTGGTATATCTTGCTTCTTTTTTCCGCATTCCCCTCCCCTCCCTCCAACCCCTCTTTCTCTCCTAATTTACAACATTTTGTTTCCATTCTTTTCCTTCATTCTTTTTTCCTTGAAGGACAGATTATTTTGTCTTTTTAAAAACTGGCCTCCTGAACCTTATGTACAAACACATGTCTTAAGTATGTGCACACACATGTACATACATGTAGGTGGAGAGAAAGGCCGCAGTGCTAGCATGTATGCTAAATGTCACATCAGGTTGAAGGCACAGGAAGAGAATGGTGGTTGTCCTATGGACTAAGGAATTGTAATGACGGTGGAGAAACACGAATATGGAAGGATGATGACTTCATGGTTTTGTATCTTTATTTTGATTAGGACGTGCTTGCGTTCGCCTTGGGAATGGTGCGTACACACGTACTGCATCTTAATCCTTTTTATTTCCCCTTTCTCTCCCTTCCCTTCCATCTCCCGCACCCCCAGCTTCCCTGGAAAGATTGAATCCTGTAGGGAATTGGTTACCAAGAGAAGATGGAGTTTGTTTCTAGTAGTCTTTAAAAATAACCTACTTATTATTTAAATCTAACCTTTTTGTCTGAATTTTAAGATTTATAGCCTTAGGCTTTACATTATTTACCATAATTTTCTTCTTCCTCTTGTTTTCCCCCTCTTTTTGTTTTTATTAACTCTTCACTTTTATGTTTTCCTGCTTTTGCTAGTATGATTGTCTCCAGCTGCAGTAAAGTTGTACTTTTTTCCCTCTTTTTTGCGTTTGGTGGTACTAGGGATTCAACTGAAAGCCTTTTCACTGAACTACATTGTTAGCCCTTTAAATTTTTTAAAATTTTTATGTAGGGTCTTGTTAGATCACTACAGTTGCCCAGGGTGGACTTGTGATCGTCCTGCCTCAGTCTCCGAAGTGCTGGGATTACAGATGCGCACTGTCATGTCCAGGTTCCTGTCCATTTTAAGTCCTGCCTTTTGCCATGAGTAGCCATTAATTAATTTACACCACATGCTTTTCTTCACTGAATTCCTATTGTGCTTCTACTTATTATCCTAAATTTGGCATTTGGTTCTCTAATGATTCCTCTTACATCTCTCTTACTTAGCTGGTATTATTTAGAGCTTGGACTTCCATGTTTTATGTCCTATGTAGTGGATAGGTTGGGGATTTCTTGGAGTTTGAGTGATTGATTCTAACTTTTGTGTCTTTGCTCCCACTTAAATAAGTACTAGGTCACAGACAGATTATAGTCTTCTGTTTGTTTTTATTTGGTCTTGTTTTGATACCATGTTTTTCTTTGTTAACTTGGACAACTCATGGGCTTTTACTTGAATATCAAGGTTTTCCTCCTTTACTGGCCAAATCAATTGTAATCAACATTGATGTTCTTTTTAGTACAGGTCATTTTCCTGAAGGAGACTTGCTTGAGGAAATTTGACATGAAATCAACATTCAAATTTATTACCTATTCCCATCACGACTTGTAGTCTACAAAAAACTTCTCATGTGTTCAAACTATAAAGTAATACCAAGATAATTTCATGTAAGTAGTAGTTTCTAAGGTAAGAACATATGAATTATATTGTGTTTAAATTACAGTGTATATCTATTGTAACTAGGCATAAAATTACTTTCCTGCCTATTTGGGAAACAATTTTGGCTATAGATAAATTGATCTTATGGTATCTCATTTTTTTTTAAATTTTTGAATGTTAACATTCTTTAAGAAGATTCTTTAAAAATCTCTAGCTTCACGCCAGGCATAGTGAAACCCTATCTCAGAAAGACCAAAACACAAAACAAAACAAAATATCTCAAAAACCAACCCCACAAAAATCCTGTTTACATGGAACTTACATTCAGATAGGCCTGAGGTACAGATACTGAGTGAGATAAATAAGTGAGATGTATAGGGTATTAGGACTGATAAATGCTTTGAAGAAAAGTACAGCAAAGGAAGTGCTTAAGGGAATATGTAGTGGCTGAGAGTCAGGTGAATGGAAAGATTGAAGTCTTAACCGCTGTGTCTAGTGAAGTGACATTTGCGTAAATATCTGCAGGGACGCAGAAAAAAGCTGTGTGTATAGTTTGGGGAAGAGTTTTCAGATGATTGTGTGTTGCCACTCTTGTTAGGTAGATATTTTTGTAAATTGTTCACTCATGCTTTTTGCCTTAGCAGAATGTCCAGCAAAGAAGTAAAAACTGCTCTGAAAAGTGCAAGAGATGCAATCAGAAACAAAGAGTACAAGGAAGCTTTGAAACATTGTAAGGTAACCGATTCTTGTTTCTTCTGTAATAAAAGTATATTACCCACTTATAAGCGTTATTGTAAGATGTCAGTCATTTACTGTCCACATTCAACAGAAGTGCTAGCCTGTTCAGTAGAACCGTTCAAATATACAGATATTCTAATTCTGTTTAGTTTGTGGCCGGGAGAATCCGGATTCTAGAGCTCCTTTATGTATTGAGGGGAATGTTCTAGAAGAGAGAAATTGTGCAGGAGAGCTTCAGGCTAGAGGTAGGTCAGAGTCCTCGGGAAGGTAAGAGGAAGTGAGATCCAGAGCTTGGCAGGAGAGCCTTTCACCCTGCTTCTGCCTCAGCAAGGAGCAAGTTAGATGCGGATCCATGTTTGCTGGTGGGAAGATAGAAGAATATTCTTCTCTGATGGCTTTTGTGTTCTTGATGAAGTACAAACTGATAGAAGGAAAAGACTTTCATGAGAAGTTTTGAAACAAAAGAAATGTGAAGCAGTTGTTACATATAGAAAGAAAACAAGCTTATTAGTAAGAATTAGAAGGATTACTAGACCCCGGCGAGTGCCCATTTGAAGTTTTGTGTTATTAAAGTGAAGTCGGTGTACCCAGAGGGGGTGTTCTCTTTTCATGTCCAGCGTCTCACGTGGAGAGATGGAAGTCATGAGGTCCAGCAGGAACAGTGAGGAGGTGATGGAGAGAGAAGAGCTGAGCGTGTGATGACAGGGAGCGATGGCCATGCTGGCTCACGGAGCCCACGCTGTGTAGGCAGCGGTGAGAAAGAGTAAGAGACGAGAGAGAGGAGGAAGGAGGAAAGGCGTCAGCGACAGTGGGGGAGGTCTGGAGCAGGGTAGCCGCCTTGCTAGGCAGACCTCACTCCGGTTAAAAGAAGGGTTGAACTTTGGGAGGGAGCTGGCTGAGTCATGTTGGGAGTTTCACAGGAGGGCAGTGGAGAGGGAACCAGCCGGGTAAGGTTAGAGAACGTGCACAGTAACACTTGTGCGGTCCAGGTTTTGGTGGTGCAGAGGCCAGCAGGGTCAAGGCTTAGGGCACCAATCCTGCCGGGGAAGGTACGCGGTCTGTTCAGGCTGGAGCCTGCTGGGCGACAGAGTGAAAGGAGAGAGAGTATTTCCTTCTGTGCCCGGCGGGCCTACCTAGAACTGCAGCAGTGGCTAGTGCTATGGACAGCAGCACCAGAGTGGTCTTCCTTCTGCAGGTTTTTCTGCAATATTCAGATATGAGTTCCACACATACTTTTTACTGGAAACACCCAACTGGAAAACACAGGGGTGAAATCAGAGTCAAATTTCAGATGATTTGTCTAAAGTGACCCAGAATATTGATTGAGAGTAAATGAAATTTTTAATAAAAAATTTTAATAAAAATTTCAATAAGACTTTATAAAAAATTTATTTGGTGCAGGGTCTTGTTATACAGCTTGAACTTGTAGTGATCCTCCTGTTTTCAGCCTTCCTAGCACTGGGATTACAGGCGTGCGCCACCACATCTGTGCTCAAGGGCTTCCTCAGTGCACCCGAAGGCAGGGTCGGCGTGGCATGTGGTGCTGGGAACTGAACCCCAGTCTCTCCGCTTGTCTAAGCAGTCACGTAGTCCAAGCTGAGCTGTCTTGCTGGCCTTAAAGACTTCTTGCCTCAGTGCATTTGCTGTAGCATTGTGCGATCCTTGTTTCCTTGTGGGACTTCATTATGTGGTATAAGCATCCCCTTTTGACAATTTTCCTTTGTTTGTGCAGAGGGGGAGCTAGATGCTTCTTTCTGTAGGTTCTCTCAGAATGTCCTACCTGTTTTCACCACATTGTAATTATTGCCTTAAAAATCTGTTTCAGCTTTGGTCATCAGTGAAATAATAATGCCTGCCTGCTGGTTGAGGGTGGCAGTTATGACTTGGTCAGCCGTAGGCGCCGGCCACTGTGCTTGGTATTGGACACGAGCGCTAAGAAGGCCTCCCTCTTAAAGCTTGGCTTTAGAGGTTACCTCATCATTGTGGTTTTCAGGAGGCGACATTATGGCGTCAAATGGAACCTGACAGTGCATTGATGGTGGATTGGTGGACGTGCTTTGGGGATGCACCTCGGCCTAATAGTTTGACTTGTTCAACTCATGGAAATGTTTTTATTTTCTTTAGACTATATAAAACCTTAGGAGACTGATTTCACTTTAGCTTCTAAATTTATTAATCTTTCTCTAGAACATATTTACTTTCTGCTTTGAGCTATTTTATTTTACCTTAGCAAGGACCTGTTGTTTCTGAAAGCAGTATCTTTACATGTAATTTTAATTTTAGATAAGACATGTTAATATAAATATTCATCGCCACTATTTGTTTTGAATATACTTGGTATGATCACATGGGAGTGAATTTGCTCTCTTAGCCTATAATTTTCATGAAAAAAGAATCCATCTGCCTAACATAGGGGGAATATTATCAGGGGAAAGGAGAATACTAAGTTGAATGAAATAAAATAAGACTGAGAAGAGTTTTGTGAGTCGGTCGGAAGCCCTGTGAGCCAGGAGAGGGGGCTGAGGTAGCTGCTGTTTGGTGTTCTCCAAGAGCAGAAGGTGGCATCAGAGTCAGCTGGGAAGCATTAAAAGATGCACGTCTCTCATGTTACAAGCTGCTCATGGTCACTCGTGGACTCCAGCGCCTTCCCTTCCTCAGGATCTGAAACCAGAGAAACGCAGTAGCTTCCTGGAGGTTACCTCCTCAGTGGGAAATGAAGATTTTCTGACGCTTAGTGAACTGTTGTTGTGCTGTTTCTTCAGTAGTTTCCAAAATTTAATCACTTGCTCCTCATTTTTTTTTTTTTTTAATCAGACAGTGCTAAAGCAAGAGAAAAATAACTATAATGCCTGGGTGTTTATTGGTGTCGCTGCAGCTGAGCTAGAACAACCTGATCAGGCGCAGGGTGCTTATAAGAAGGCTGTGGAGCTAGAGCCAGACCAGTTGCTAGCCTGGCAGGTAAGACGCGCTTCTTCACTGCAGTGGGGAAAGGCTTTTTTTTTCACTTTTCAAAACATAGATTACAGAATTAAAATAAGCATTTAAATCTCCATTTGACTCAAGTAAGAAAAAAGGCATGAATCTTACATATCTAATTAGTTTTTTAAAAAAGTAATGCTGAAAATGTTATTGCTGTTTAATGTTCTACTCAATGTGTTATTTCTGGATGAGAGGACTCAAATTAAAACTTGGTTACAAATCCTCTACTTAATTATATGTACATAGAAAAGGATTTTCCAGAGTATTCTTGCTACTGATGTGGGATAAAAAGAAATGCATAGTCATGTCCTCTTTTTATTATTATTGTAAGTATTTATTTTAAAGAGAATAAATAATAATTGATAAGACATTAGATACAGTACACATTTAGAAGACCAAGGTGAGAGGTTTCCAACCATGTGTTTTGTATCACATATTGCTGTCCTTGATGTAGTTGCTAAGATCGCAGATATCAGTAGACAGGGCTAGTCAAAGTGAAAATTCTAAACATTAACTGCTTTCATTTTTTTTTTCATATGTTTTCTAAGAATAAAATAGTATATAAAAAATTTTTAGTTCTGTTTGAGTGTATAATCTAAATACGTTTTTTTTTTTTTTACTTATTGGTCTTAATATTTTTCAGTGACATTCTCCAGTTTAATGTTTAATCAGTGCAATGTGTTTCTTGTTGGTCACATCTGTGAAGCTACGCATAATCAGTAGGAGGTGTGAATTGGCAGGCGAATGTGTTCTCTGGCCGCACATGAGAGCTTGGGTGACTATCTGGTGCACGCCTAGGGGCGTGGCTATT